CTTTTGAGAAGACATGAAGTACGCCTAAGAATTTGAAAACAGCAGACCATTGTAATGGCAGGTATGCACTACATACAATTCGCTGATCATCCTTTCGTACGTTTGTCTAACTTATACACATAGAAGTATACCAAAACACTTAGTGTCCTGATGCATGATTTTTTTATCATAAAGGTGTAATTTTCAAATCCCGTTCACGAGCACAACTAACTTAGAGAAAGAAAGTTAGATTTTATGTATTACCTTTCGACGTTCGTTATACTTCATACAGACAAAAGTGAAAATACACATTACGTTCTATGTTACAATATTGAATAGTTTCGATAAAAATGAATGATTTTTCAATTATTCGATATTTTATTGCCAGAAAAGAAAAATAGAAAAAACAACGACGACTGTATCAGACATCGACAGAGCAAAAGACTATAATTTCATTGAACATAGTGTCATAATGTAATATATATATAAGAAAGAAACGGATGACCACTGAATTAGTCTAATTTTCTTTTCATTCATTTTAATACATAGCGAGAGAAGTTGTATATTTAGAGAGTTAACTTTAATACACAAGGCATATTAAAAGTAAGATTTCTGTCTGGATTCAGTATGTAACACCTAGATGATTCAATCCTTCGGTCGGATGCAGTGTCATAATGTAATATATAGTACTCTAGTCAACTAAATTTTCAAGAAGGCTTTAAAGGAGTGCAGAACGCTCTCCAAGGTTCTAGAAACTTGTGAAAGTTTATTTCACTGCTATGTCGAAGATCTTCCGTTGTTAGGGTGCAGCTAGCAAGTGCTTGTTTGGTCTCCGTTGTTATGAGTATAAAGGCGAAAGGAAGCCGAAATACCTCGCCTTATGATTTACAGTCCCATGTTTTCTTTGAAAAGTATGTACGAGTGCAACAAAATCAAATAACAGGTTATGACTAATACTGATTTAAAAAATTTAATCCATCTTTTGACTAAGAAAACATTGAATAAAATCAGATTTATTTTCGTTTATTTTAAATGAATATTTAATTGAAGGCACCAATCAATCGAAAGAACAGGAAAGAAACAAAAAAATTAATAAAATGAATAAATGTTCATGCAAGAGAAGAGAGTAAGAATAAAGGTAATAACTTGTACTTTTACACCTCTTCCGCTACTTTGGACGCCAACAGGACAGACGGGAGGAGCTAACGATTGCAGCGGTGTGCCTCCACCACCAATCGTGTTCTGACGGTTGTTGATCACGACGTGCAGTGCTTGAAACAGTGCCAACATATCAGCATACCAGGCAGCACCGAGACCCGTGGGACCAGAGTCGAAGGCATAACCATATGCAACTTGAAATTCATCAGTCACACCATGTTCAGTGCACACTGTTCCACGACTATAGTATGTGTCATCGCACAGATAGCCACCGTAGTTCCGCAGTACAAACAGCATCTTCTGTCCCGGTACGGTAGTGACGTTGACAGCGATGCTGGAGGGAATGGCAAGAAGTGCGCCAGGTGACAAATAAATATCAGTGCCACCATAAGGATATTGAGCGTCTGGATCGAATGCATAGCCGTCGCAATTTAGTGCAGGCCACACGTAGCCAGGTCTCTGGTTGTAGTAGTATTGGTATGCGAACAACTCCAGCTTGAGTGTCTGTTGGAAAGTACCAACAAACCCTCCCATAATGTTACAGTGTCCGGCACCGCTCGGATTTCCCCACCAGCCTTGATTGTACCACACTGTCAGCGGATCATTGGTGGATGTGATGATAAAGTAGTCATCATCGGAAAAGAAGTTGGCGGGCAATGGAAATGGCGAACGAAAGATACCTGGATCGTGGAACACTGCTCCACTACCAATAGCTGTATTCCAAATCGAGGTCGACAAGAACGGATTCGTTCGTGCATTACGACATATCGTAGTCGCATTCGTTGAATTGGTATAATTAACATTTCCTTTTACTGGTAGACATATTACACCCACGATAGTCAAGATAAGCCAAGTCCATATAAATTTCATTGTCATGTGTAAATTCTTCGGAAAATTTTGCTACATAAAGATTTTTGTATCTTTTTCTGATTTTCAAATAACATTTTTAACATTTTTTCTTGACGTTCTTGATTAATTAACAATTGTTTCAAATACTTTTCTTCCACTTTCATATTCGATAATAATGACTATTTTAATAAGATTGCAAGTTCCTTAGACTGAAAATAAAGTATATACCTAGTTTTGGTTAAAGAATTGGGCGCATTTATAATGAACGTTACCTGTTCACCATCAGTATCGTCATCATTGTTTTTAATAGTGGTATTTGTATGAAGGAGTTTTGTCCCAGTTAATTTTGATTTTTGAGAATTATTATTGAAGATGGTGTTCCCAGTATACTAGCAGCTGTGAAGTTGTTATTTGTTTTTCTTTGGGAGGATGATCTGCATCACTATCGTCATCGTCCGTTATTATTAGTTGTGAAAGGCATCTTGATGTTGATTTTTTTGTTGCTTGGTGTGGACGTTTTTGTTGAGCAGGATTCATCGCTGCTGATTCTCGTTTTTTATTTTTTTGTTGCTGTAATTGTGGTGGTAATCGTAAATGTTCATCGCTAAAAGTATAAACCATTTGGTTTATGGCAGCCATATTCTCAACAGCACCTAAACAGAAACAGACATAATGGGTTACGTAAACTTTACGTACACATGTCAATATTTAGAACAGAACCTTCAGGCTTAGGTAGAGTTTGGAAAGCGGAGGTTTATTTTTAATTGATTCCAATACTTTGAGTTGATCGATGAAGGAAACTTGCATGCTAGAAAAGTATAGATTCTGGTTAATAGACCACTCTCAACATCTCAAAAGCATATTGGGAAAGTTTCAGCAACTTCAATAAAGTTTGTCTAACTTCTCAAAGAGTCACGTTTGATGTTTAAACATTCTACAAAATAAAAACGGATTCGCATAATAAATAAAGTTTTTTAAATGTATTTTTTTGTTAATATCTTCTGTTTTATCTTGTTCTTTATTAGTTGTAGCATTGCTTGGTAGTATACTTTTCTGTGTACCCCAACCTAGAAAAAGATCATGCTGAAGGAACCGTAGTAAAACTGTTTTTCTCTCTTATACCTGATCCACGTGAAAGTTTTGACCTTGAACTGTCAGTTGTAGCTTTATTGGTTGATTCTGCACGCAAAATAACAAAAGGTAAGTCGAAGGATATGTAAGAATAAATACAGTACTAATCTGATGTTAATCGAACACTTTCATTATTTGTGCTTATAAATAATTGCTTCTGTGTAATATTTTCCAAACTTTCGAATGGAATACTATCCAAACGTATTATTTTAGGTGCTTCTAAAAGCAAATAACAGACTGAATGTGCTGTTTTTCTTGTAAAAGAAGTTAGAAACAGCAGTTACATGATTGTTGTTCGTTGATTGTTGATGTTGCTGCTGAGTTTTCTTCTTGGTGAGGACCATAGTCACTTTCAACTATAATATTTTGCATATGAATTCGTTTCCAGTGAATCTTCTTCATACATCTAGAATAAAGTACATAACTTTCTTTATTACCGCTTTTTTGGATAGTTCTCAGCTACGGAAAAATATCTCGTATAATTTTACTAAAATCTCACAACATATTACATTTTAAACTGAAAATGTCCGGAACAGAAAACTTTAATCATGCTCAAAATCCACTCTAATCTCAGATAAGCATTATGTGTCTTGAAATGATACGTAAATACATTTATGGCGGAAACGCTCGATAGCAATAACTGTCAAAGTTGTTGTTAATGTCAAGGATATAATTCATTTAATTTCTGATGCATTTCCAACGGAATATTAACAAAATCGGATAACTGTTTCTTATATTTCTCATATTTTTGTAGAAGGGCAAAATAATCATTATGATGTCTATAAAATAAAACTATATTTTCATATTGCGTATCACCACTTTCAGCTGTAAATGAGACAATATAACTCACGCAACTAAACGATTCATCATAATTAGTAGAATGGTAAGTGACAAACGCATTTTTAAATCGTTTATAGAAATTGACATCACTCATTTCTTGATTTTGACACGCTAATAAATGAAT